TTTACGCTTCATACAAGTGACAATAATAAAGAGGAATACTGTACAAAGCAATTCAGATATGCACATTTGACGATATCTGTAAAGAACGAGTTGAAATTGGACCTGCAAAATACCGAATATGTCGAAATCACATACTTTCTTATGCAGAGACTAAGCAGAGATATTGATTGCTCGGGAACATACTTAGACAACTCGAGTGGTACCAATTTTTTTACGGATAAAAGTTGGGTAGAATCGGTGAAGTTTTAGATATGCACATTTTGGATTTCTCAACCGTAAGTTATCAAAAATACAAATTTTGCATTATTCCCATTCAAATTATATAAGAAGACGCCATTTTGAATTTTTATTTCGAGTCAAAATGCGCATGCTTGGCAGCCATGTTGGACTCCATTTCTGGCCATGAGTTAAGCTAATGAATATAAAATATACACATAATTTTTTGTTTGTTTAGTTACAATCGCAGAATATTAATTGCCAAATGTGACTATCGCACGATGTTTACAAATAGAAAATATTCGACTCACTTTAATTACCAAGAACTAACCCAATTTTGCCCGTTCCATCTAAACATAATTTCTTTACATCCCTGTTGAATTCTTCTATCTTTCAAACGTATTTTTCAAACCATATTTCGTCAGCGTATGCGGTATGCCGTATACAAACTTTTCATGCTCGACAATGCTCAACGACATTTAGGAAGGCTGACTTTCAAATTTGATTTTGAAGTCGGTTTGCACGTTTCACCTCGATTTTATATTTAGCGCAATTCGTATATGAAATTTTGTCAATACTGGAAGACGATTTTGAGATGCGCAACCGTGTCTAATGACAATTTTGAACCCCCCCCTCCCCCCTCCCCTCCCTTGAAAGAATCTAAAAACCAATGAAAAACATTGCGATGCCAAAACGACGCCGTTCCTTAAAGCGAAAAGATAAAATCATGTGCGGGATTGTTACAGGTCACCACACACACGAATGTCAAACAAATTGTGCTTCAACTGTCGTAGCTAACTCGATTATTGGGGGGGCATATTCATATATTCGTGTTCACAGAACTTAAAAAACAATTGATTTCAATTAGAGAAATTAATAAGGCAGAACACGAAAATATGAATATTGCCCCCCCCCCCCCCCCCCATTATCGAGTTTGCTACGCCACTGTGTGCTTCCTTTGCCCAATATTTTGCTACGTACTAAGCTGTAACTGTAATTCTTTAGACGACGGCAAAAGGAGACAATGGTCACTATGACATATGGTTACTATGATGTATATCAATATGAACATGAATATGAAATGACAATCATAAATTACCATCGTACACACGAACCTGACCTGCAAAGTTGACCTGCAGGGGGTAGCACGAATGCTGGAAGAAACCTTTCCTGAAAACTATAACCTGTATATTAATACACAGGGTATATAAACAACGGAGCCCTCGATTGAAACATGAATTTCAAAAATAGTAGTACGGAAAACGTTTATGAAACGTTTATGTTTAGTTTCATTTTAAAAAAGCTTGTTCATTGAACTTTTCAACAGTAGGCTATATATTATTCAAATTTAAGCGATTGTTTCGCAAAAAATATTATTCAATGTGGCTCAGATTGGAGAATCAAAAATTGCTCATGCACTATGCAATACCAAGACGGCAGTCGATACTAACTTATTGTGTTAACAAAAAGAAATGTCTAATAGAATTGCGTGCAATTTGAGGTGTTTATTAGCAATCTCATTGCGACCAATTTGAGGTGTTTATTTTTTAAATATATGTTAAGAAAAACAGCAGAAAAATTGATATAAAGAAAAGCTCAACGAACTACTTTGCATGTGTTCAGTCTTTTAAAATCAGAAAGTATTTTCCGTTTAGAGCGCTAAACTCATGCAAATCCTTCAATAATAATCTTATTGAAAGGTTTGACATATAATCATGCCGAGCATTCGAAATTCGTAAAATTCTCGGCCAAGTTAAATGTCAAACTATTCGATAAAATATATGTATTCAGAAAATTATTGAACATAAAATATGGACTCTGGTTTTATACACCATGTACGCTAGGAAGTACTGTTGACTTGCACTATCGTCCTATAATTATCGTACAAATAGACTTTGCACTTTTATTATATCTAGTCTTCTGTACTACTCAATAGTGTATGGGTTTTAGATATTCTTAAACATTAGATTTATATATATTAAAATACAGCATTGATAGTTTCAATAAATATTTAATTAAACATTTGTTCGCCATGATCATGAAACATCTATAATTTGCATAATTTATTTTTGATGTAGATCCCAGGAACTATACAGGATTTACAGGAACAACATAAATCATAACAATTAATATTTAATTATTTGTTATTTTTTGCGCAAAATTGGCAATTTGTTTGCTATGACCACTAATAATTATAAATTACAGGACATAAATATAGCACATAAACACGTAGAAGTGTATTATTCTTCACAATGCTGCCGTAATAAATGTTTGTTCAAGATGAAAAGCGAATGGCAAGTGGTTAAAATTTGGTTTTGCCTTAGGACGTTCAACACTGGTCACTGTATTTATTTCTAAAATGATGATGTCTTTTATTGCTGCAGCATGTCGGGGATTACTTCACCAAAAACTAAAGTGTTTTCCCGGAATAAGTGGGTTCGCACGTGAACTGTTCGTGATCTTTTAAAATTAATCATTAAGAATAAACTATTAATTTAAAGCTTATAAACTATATATGCCCGTTCTCAACACAGCACACCTAGTGATGGTGTGACTACGAGGTGTCTTTAGCCATTTGTCTTTAATAACAGCTTAAATTAATATCTTTATCTGAACTCGTAGTCACACTTTATCATTAGATGTGGCTGATCTGCTGTCATAAAAGAAATAAACACAGTAGCCAGTATTGAACATCCTAGACCAAAACCAAATTTCAACCAGTTACCTTTCGCTTTCTATCTTGAACAAACGTTTATTACGGCACCAATGTGGAAATGCACTTCCATGCTGCCACGTGCTACATTTATGTCAGAATTTATAATTATTAATGTTTTATGGTTAAAATTGCTAATTTTCCGCAAAATTAACAAATAATTAAAGAATTATTACGATTTATGTTGTTCTTGAAAATCCTGTAATTCCGCATGTAGTTCCTGTTCCTGTAGTTCCTGGGTGTCCAAACACCCGCTCACGTCATGTAATTCAGCTTTTGGCTGCAAAATGATTCTTAATAAACGGTTATCTATAATAGTTTTTGTTTGTGGAAACACCACGTAAACTTATTGCTGGAAAACTTTTGATCCGTAAGCCCGGATCTTCATCAGTGCTAATATTATCACTGATGAAGATCCGGACCTACGGATCAAAAGTTTTCCAGTAATTAATAAATTTACGTGGTGTTTCCACAAACAAAAAATATTATATGTTTTATCGCCATGCCAAACCTACAAAGAAACGGTTATTTATTTTATCCTGTCTAATTAATTTAAGATGTAAACGAAATTTGGGCATACTTTCATAAACGCACAAACTGTGGCGAGAAATTCGTTCATTTAAAGATTTGAATTTAGCTTCAAAAAGAAAAGTAACCGAATCGAATCAGACTGATCGTATAACCCTTTTCGATAATTAGGTCATGATACCTTAACTCTTAGCTTGGCCTGGGAGCCTCGCTCTGGTAAGCACTACTTTGTTGTTACCTCGGGTCGGTACGACAGCGAGGTCATAAATTCAGCTCCTTCGGCCAAAGCGAAACGGAAACCGAAGCTGTCCTTGCACAATATCCGTCAAAATTGTTGATTTAAAACCAGAAGATGTGATAATTTTGACATACATGTTTAGCTGGATAACTATTCTCGAGTATATGTTGATATAATGTACAATACTTCGTATGCATAGCATGGGAATACCGCGGCCAACTTTCACTTGTTTGATACTGCTAAGCATTTTGTGGATGGTTCGATTCTTACTATAACTGGTAGACAACAATTTTGCCAAATGTCCACTCATTACATTCTTCGACTGTGGTACAACTATTAGTAATGACAACAATTTATTAGACAACAATTTATTATTGCACTGAACTAAAATGTTATCACTTGATAATGACTTCATATTCGGCAACAATCGTTTTATTTGGCAACAACAATCCCAAAATGCATTGCGAGTTTGCAAATTTAGAAACAAGATGGCGGATCAGCATCAACCGGACGTTTGGACGAAGTACGAGATTCAATTTTAACACGCTTGGAAATGCTTTTAAACGTTACGTTTAAATGATACGGCTATTTCACTAGGTCCTCAACCCCATATAATAAATCATATCCACGATTGCTCTGAAGCTCTTTATCGATGTCTTGCTGTTCTGTCTGCACAAGACCCTAATACGTACAGCGGATATCTAAATCAAACAAAACACTTCGTTGATATTATGGAGCGCTCTGTTTTCAATGACAATGGTGAAAATAACGAAAGAAGAACAGCAAGAAAAATGCGAACTGCAGGGAGACCTAAATTTGATATTTCCAGAGACCAATTGGTGTACCTTATAGATGGGGTTCAGGATCTGGTGAAATAGCTGCCGTAACATCGTTTTAAAGCATTTCCAAGCGTATTAAAATTGAATCTCGTATTTCATCCGGTTGATGTTGATCCGCCATCTTGTTTCTAAATTTGCAAACTCGCAATGCATTTTGGGATTGTAGTTGCCAAGTGAAACGATTGTTGCCGAATATGAGGATTGTAAAATGATAACATTTTAGTTCAGTGCAGTAATAAATTGTTGTCAAACGATTTTTGTTCTTGAATATTTTGATATTGTCACCAAATGTTTTGCAGTTGCCACAAAATAGTCAGAAACAATAGCCAAATGATGTCAAATCATTGCCAAATTGTTTAACATGCATGCCAAATGTTACAAGATCATATATTGTCAAAATGTTTCACATAATTTTGACACACATCACCCGCCATAGGTCGAGGCATGGGATTTACTTCGGACCACTTCGGTTAAGTAGTAACTTCCACTTTGACAGTTTTTTTTCATGTAGTTCAACGTCTTTAAAGACTTTAAAAGAACCTTTCACAACATTACTTCGAGATTTATATATGTACGTTGCGCATGCCATCGCTGGTCCATACTTTAGAGATTATGTCGCTAAGACACGCATAATCAGAAAACTCAGAATTTCGGGCACCAGAGTATACCTGTTCACAGGTAGTGCTGTGAATAATATAGTTAACAACAAAATCATGACCAAAGACACCAAAAACGGATCAAAATTGTATTTTAAAATACGTGGGAAATTGGGAATCGACTCGCATTACCTCAATCCCATTCCCATTTTTGAGGACTTCATTTCCCATTCCCAGTGGCCAAATCCCAGTCCCAGCAACCCAAATCCCATTTTACCAGTCGAAAAATAGATCAATCCCAGTTCCGCTCTTTTTACTTTGAGACTGGTTTCCTCCCGCACTAGAGAAAGTGTGGGCCAAGTTATAATTTTTCTCTAAATTAATATTATACTAAATTCGGAATTTTTTGCGTATTTTTGCATGTCTTCAGAGATTGATCCATTTCATTTCAGTTAATGAACAACCGCTAGACCAAATTTTTCAACTTTTCGAGAAGGTTTTTTAGCTTAAAAATTGTTTCACTTGTCTTTTTGTTTTAGCACGAAAACGTATTTATCTTTCCTGCTGAAACACTGTACGATCCGGACGTAAAGCACCTGATCGCACGGTACCCATTCAGATTGCTCTATTTTTAAAAATAACGGTCCGCTAAAAAAGAAAACTATACAATTTTAACACCATCATTATTAATAATAACGGCAACCCAACTTCGAGATATCGGATCATTGATGTCATACGTCGAGAAAACTATGGTGAAAGTTTTTGGTCACTAAGAATAACCGTCATCCGGTATGTTTATGGTAATACACAATAATAACCTTTCCGGTAATTACGTCACGACTAACACTGTTTTCAACTTTGGACCACCTTTAATGGAATGGATTTTAAGTTTGTTTCTCACGGGCTATGGTCAGAGGAACAGAACATCCTTCGTCAACACTTGCAATAAAAATAATTTTGGATTTTGACTGTTAAATGTGGAAATAAGTGAAACAGGAATTGAGGCTAAGAGGCCAAGAGGAACCAATGCTCGTCAGCCTCGTTATCGTATTTAAGCCTTTTTCCACATTTAATAGCCAAAATCCGAAAGTCTTTTCTATGCATGTGTTGATGAAGGATGTTCTGCTTCTTTGACCATAGCCCATGAGAAACAAACTTGAAATCTATTCCATTTAAGGTGGTCCTAAGTTGAAAACAGTGTAGTTGTGATGTAATTACCGGAAAGATCTATTCTGAAGAATTTATCGTTGTATTAACTTGTAGCACCTGCAGTGGTCCCATATGCAGTGGTTATCCTTAAAATATTAAATGAACAACGTCTTAAAAAGGCTATCAAAACATATCATGTATTCTGAGAATTTTTAGAACCAAAACTCTGGTGTTTTACAAAATTAAATATTTTGGGAAATCATTGATGGGACCACATGGTTGAGGTTAATGTTATATTACATGGCTGCAGCACAAACTGCTGCGAAAAACCTTATCTCAGGGCAAATAGAACAACATATCTGAATTTCACTGCATGGCCCAAAAGTATGCGCTTACACTCCAGTAATATGGTTGCGATCGATAAGACTAGACAGGAAAGTGGGCTCAAGACGAAGTTAAACATTTGTTGTATTGTATGAATGTTTCATTGCATGGTTAGACATTGTGAGGTATATGTTCAAATACACCCTGTTGGAAAATACGTCACCTTGGCTATAGAGCCTCGTTTTCGAGCACTTGACATTGGTCAAAGCTCAATGTTCAGCACATGAAAACGAGGCAGATGTTATTTTTGCCGGCAAAATGGACGTATATTGTAATTTTAATTAATGTTGTTGAGCATAGGGCCATTCAATGTTAATATCAAGGGCGGATGTAGGGGTAGTCATATAAAAAGGCATATAAAAAATTTGATCAAGGTTTTAAAATTATTTGCCACCAAGCGCACAAACGCTTTCCTTCACTCCGATCACGCAATCAACTCTATCGCATCTAAACTTCGATCAATTTTTGCACATTGAGCCAGCGATTAATTAGTGATACGATAAGTCAAATAAGCGGTATTCAAATGAAAATTGACCTTTCTGTGTTTTAGTTCGTGCATGTAGTTTGATTGGTCAAATTTGGTCT